CCCCAAAACCCCAAAACCCCAAAACCCCGGGAATATTAGGGGGGATTGTAGTAATAATATAGTATGGAGGGTGGAGATAGGTTTGAGTTTTTGGTACAGAAGTCGGTTTGTTTTGACTTAAGCTTAGAAGAATACGAAGAACTAACAGAACTCTTGAATATAGAACATAACTTTTTGATTTATTATCCTCAAGCAATGGCTGTTATGACTGAAATGATGAGTGAAAGTGCATTCAAAACTTATGCTTCAGCGAAGAAGCCAAGTATCAAATACCATCCTTCTCCTGATCTCAAACTTGTGCCAGTTAGTAAGCTTGCAGACTCAGGTCATTTTTATTTTGGACAAATAAACAAGAAAACGCGTCAATTCGAAGGAATCGGAATTGAAGTTAATTCTGAAGGCCAAGTCTTTCATAGTGCATTTTACAATGGTTCTCCAAATGGTAAAGGAATTTTAATCAACAATTCCGACCTTTTATATTTTAACGGAGAATACGTGAATGGTAAATTTTACGGGACAGGAACATACATCAACCATTCAGGGAATATATTTGAAGGCCAATGGAAAGCTGATAAAATCAATGGCTTTGTAATTCAAACTGATCCGAATGGAGATATATATGAAGGAAATTATGTTGATGGAAAGCCTGAAGGTTTAGAGAAATTCACTCAAAATGATGGGGTGTCCACTGAGGGTCAGTGGGAGAATAATCAACTAAATGGGTATGCTATTAATGTTTTGCTAAACGGAGTTGAATATTTTGGCAATTACAAGAATGGCTTTAAGGATGGAAACGGAAATCTTACCAGTCCAGATGGAAGTTCAATTTCAGGAAAATGGGTACATGATAAATGTGAAAAAGGGGTATATTTAGATACTAAAGGAAGAGAATACAAAATACCAGATGAAATTTCTTATAAAAAAGCGTTGTCAATGCTAGAGTCAATACAACATAGAGATAATTCAATCTAATTACTATATTCCGGGGTTTTGGGGTTTTGGGGTTTTGGGG